AGTCGGCTGGAGCCCTGCAATAATGCCCACCCCACGCCCACCCCCATGCCACCAACCCTCTCCTCACTCCAACCCTTCAGAGTAGAAGGTGGGTCCTTGGCCTGGGAGCCTCTGCAGCAGCCACCACCGGCCCCTGCCAGACCCAGGACTCGGAAGGGGGCTGGCCAGGGCCCACCTGGCCTTTGAACAGGGCGGCTGAGGGCTGCAGGCCCTAATCCCCAATCAGCAAAGGTGCTTCCAGCCCTGTCCCTCCCTCCTTTTAGGGCCTTTTAAATTTTTTTATATAAGTTGTTCTGGGATGGGGAGGGGGTTATGACAGGGGCTGTCCCTCCCTCCCCTGCACAGTAGTTTGTCCTGTGGTTTATTTTGTATTATCTGTAAATAAAGTGTCTTTATTTTAAAAAGAAACCCCTCTCTGCCCTCAATGCGGGGAGGCTCCTCGCCCCAGCCACGGACCCCCAACCTGCACGTTGCCACAATTCACGGACTCTGCTGTGTGCCCGCTGCACACCCGGCGCCAGGACCTGCCCAGTGGGGGAGACAGAAAACGAATAAGCCAGCCTCCCTTAAGAGGAGCCACTGCAGACGAGCCAAGGCACTCCTGGGGGAGGCAGCACGGTTAAACGGTCACCAGATCACCTGGCCATACCCCGGGGACGGCAGGCTTTGCCACGGCCAGCCTGCCTGGCACTTGGAGCAGCCATGGGTCAGCACAGAGGCAGGCTGAGTGTTGGGAGTGAGGAAACTGAGAGGAGGCAGGGGGGGGAACGTTGCCTGTGCCCAAAGCCAGGAAGAGCTGGTGAGGAGGGAAGAGATGAGCAGGGCCGGCAGAGACGGGGCGGTGGGAGAGGCCACCTGCTGCGGCCACCGGTGAGAGGTCAGGGACAGAGCCTTTCTGTCAACCCTGGAGGAACTCTGACCCAACGGCAGGCAGGCAGGTCCCCCGGGAGCCCGGTGCCCTTGGGCATCCCGTCTGTGCCATGGGGGGCTCACCAGCAGAGGGCGCAGCAGCACAGTCTTGGCCCCATGGCTCAGCCAGTGGACCGCTGCCCTGCTGTGGTCTTGGGGGCACCGGACCCACACAGGAGCAGAAGAAGCTGGAAGCTTTGGGGACCCCTGACACTGGGCTATCTCAGTGGGACAAGGCCCCTTCTGTGTCCGGAGATGGGCAGGCTGGGGACATTTATCATTTTTAAGTGAACTTATTGGCGTGATAGGCAGGCAAGGCTGTGGACCATTTGGGTTGATGATTTAAAAAATGAAAACAAAACTGAAAAAAAGAAAGGCAACGACAGGAACGGCTCTTCCTCTCCAGCCAATACTTGGGGTGCAGGGGCGCCAATTAAATTAGAATGTCACATAAACAGTGAATAATTTTTTCGTCTAAGTATGTGCCATCGCTAATTGGGACATACTTAGACGAAATGTTTTTGTTGTGTATCTGACATTCAAATTTAAGTGGGCACACTGCATTTTCATTTGCTAATTTTGGCAGCCGTGTGGGCTGTCAGTGTTCCCAACCTCCGGTCCCAAATGACGTGGGCCCGGGTGCTGCCCCAGGAGGCCCGCAGCCCCAGCCCCCAGACAGGCCACATGGAAAGCCACCATCCTTCACGTGGTCAGGGGTATGTTCCTTAAGGTGTAATAAGTTTAAGAAGGTGGTAACGAGCGTGGTTCCCAGCTGATGAGACACGAAGGCATTTGGAGAAGCATCTCCTCCCTCTCGGCCACCACCCAGAGGGGCCCCAGACCCTGGGCAGGGCTTTGTGCCCGAAGTGGCTTTCACACCAGAGCTCTGTCCATTCCTCTCACCCTCCCACCCCCACCTCACTGCTCCCACCTCCTCTCCTGGTGTTTGGGGGGGGGCGGGTCAGGGATCATGGGAAATTGAGAGAAAAGGAGGGGTCACGCACGGAGGGTCTCAAAGCCCTCTGAAAATGTCCCCGCCCCAACCTCCCGCTGCCCGGGCCAGTGGGGCTTTGTGCCACAAAGACGGGTGGGGGCCAGAAGGGGTGGGTCTGGGGGGAGCAGGAGCAAGTGGGGGGAGAGGGAAGCAAACGCTGGGAGGGTGTAAAGAGGGAGAGGAACTGAGGAAGGAGGTGCAGCGGGAAGCTTTAGACCCCAGAGTTCTCACTGCAAGGTCAGGGTTAGTTTTTGTGGAGGGGTAGGAAAAATTATTCCTTCTATAAAGACAATATGCTCCTTATCAACAGTTTGAGCATTGCAGCAAAGTACAAGAGAAAATAAAAGTATCACCTGCCAAGTACAAAAAGGAAATTAAAATATCACCTCAGGTTTCATCATTCAACTGTAACGATCATTAACATCTCTGGTGCAGCATCCTAGACAGATTTCTATGCATTTTTACAGATAGAGGGGGAGATGGGAATCCTTTCATTAAAATGAGATCATGCCATATGTCTAATTTTTTTTTTAGTGGAGACGATTTAATTTTACTTGATTCTAATTGAAGAAAAGAAACCTGATGAAACTGAAGAAATTCTTGAACTTCACACACATTTCTGGACCAAAAATATAGCCTCCCTGCCACGCCAGAGCCCTGCCACATCAGGGAGACAGTGACGTTTAGACATCAACGTTCCTTCCCTCCCAGGGAAACCTCGCTGACACCCTTGCTCATGGACAGAAAGACGGTGACTGATCCAAGCCCTCAGTCCTGGGGATGGTGGGCTGCCTGCCTGTCATTCATGCACCGAACCCAACCATGGGAGCCCAGCACGCAGCCCCAGGTGCCGGGGGCCCCTCTGTGCAGTCCGGGCTGCCCCCGAACCGTGAGCTGTCCTTCCCCCAGGATCTGTCCCCCCCCCCCAAGGATCTGGGCCCCGAGGGCCCTGGGCTCCCTGTTCTGGGTCCTCTCTCCCTGAGAAATAAGGTCGAGGCCAGGCAGCCTCCTGTGGTCCGTGCGGCTGAGTCACAAACTCTGGGACTCACTCCGCGGTCTTGCCGCGCTGTGCCCTTTGCCATCCACAGGGGCGCTGTGGGCCACGCCCATTGTGGAGAAACCGGGCATCGGCAGTCCCCGTGGCTGTCACACGCGTCCTCATCTGCACCAGGAACGCACTGCGTCAGTTTATGTTCGTTCTCTACCCAGTGTGTTCACAGGTCACCCCCAGTCCTTCTACTTTGGCTTCTCCGTCCTGAGTCCCAAGGTGCCCGTGTGGCTGGAACTGTCTCTCCCTGCCCTGTCCCCACCCTTTGCCATCCTCTGAGCACTGAGGCTTACCCACCGGCTGGCAGCACGTCCCCGTCTGCCCAGGCCAGTCCTGGTTTGCATCCCCGTAACCAGGGGGGGACACCCGGGCAGAGGGGGCTGGGACCCGGGCTGGGAAGGGCTGAGCTCAGTGCTCTCCACTGCAGTGCCCAGGCCTCTGCCCAGGCCGATTACAGCAGAATCTCTGGCCAGGCCCAGTCATGGGTGCTTTCTGCGTCCCAGGCATCCCAATGTCCCATGCAGGTTGAGAGCCAGAGACTCAAACCCCGGCCGGCCCAGGTTTTGAACCACTCCCAGGGCAGGACAGGGTGGCCCCGTCTGCAGGCCAGCCCTGCTGACTCCCTGCCATGCTCCGCCCGCCTGCAGACCTAGCCAGTCTCCAGCCGCTCAGTGCAGCGAGGAGGGGGGCAGAGAGCTGCGTCTGAAAGGGGGTCCCATGGAGGATCGAGGTACCTGCCTGCATCCCTGCCACCTGCAGCTACTGGAAGTGGTGGGTGTCAGGCTGAGCCTGGAATCCACACCTGCCACAGCCATTCCAGAGACAATCCCCCAAAGCCTATACACACATGCATGCACAACACATATGTACACACACTTGCATGTGTGTGCATGTGAGCACATATCTCGCATAACACATATACACTCATGTTTGCTTGTGCACAGGTTTGCATGTGTGAAAACACATGCACACTGGCCTGGGGGTGGGAAGGCCTGACCCCCACCCGCTGTGTGAGGCCAGGAGTTGCAAACCTCGGAGAGTCACAGACCTGAGGCTCCTGGGGTGCAGGTTTGGAGACAAACATCCCAGGGACACAGGCCGAGAGCGCGGGACCTTGGGTACAGATGACAAAGCACGGACTGTGACAGATCAGACACAGGGATGGCTAAGCCATGGATCCAAGAGACATCAGGCGGCTGGCTGGGCAGAGGGAGACCCCCAGCACCCCTCAGGCCAGCAGAGGGCATGGCACATGGTCCGGGAGGGGAAGGGAGGTCGTCTTGGGGGGCCCACACAGCAGCTCTGAGGATGCGGTCGGATTCGGAGGCTGTATCCCTAAACCATGACTCCCAGGAGCGGAGGGACTGCCCTCCCCACTGCCTCCCCAGTTCTCCTCTGCTTGTGAGCCCCCCCCCCACTGTCCCCCATGCTTGGTTCTCCCAGGCAGTTGCCAGCAAAGGGGAGGGAAACCTCATCTCTCAGCCCCTGGGGAGGAAGCTGCAGGCACAGCTGCTGCTCCTGAGCTGCCCTGGCCCTCCCAGGTGGCCTGGGGGAGGGGGCTGGCTGCCCCCAGGGAGGGAACAGGCCTGTGCTGCTGTGACTCCTCCTGACTGCCCCCCAAGAGCTGCGGCAGCCCCCAGGGCCCTGCCAAGCACAGGCCTGTGGCCTCCTGGCCTGCTCGCTGGCTCTGGCTGCAGCCAGACCCTCAGTGTCTTTCCCAGAGGGGGAAAGTGTCTTTCCCTGGGCAGGGGCGATGCCTGGGCAGGGGCTGCCCCCATGTGTGGAGGGAGCTGGGATCAGGCTGGCTGAGGTGTCGGGGGCTGGCCTGGGCCCTGGAGGTCTCTTTTCACTGCAGGATTGGTCAGGTTTGCATCGGAGTGGATCGCTCTGAGCTGGCTGTATGGCACGCCAGGGAACCATTTTGGGGGTGGAAAGCAGGAAGGTCGGCGGTCAGTCCCTCTTCTACAGGTCTAATTCCTGAAGGGCAAGACTGGTCAGTCAGCATCTTTATTGGAAGAGAGATCCAGCCTCCTTGGCTCTGCTGGTGCCCTAGGCCATGAGGATTTCGATGTCCAGCTCCAGCCGCCTGGCCCTGACCTCATAGCAGCCCTGGATCAGGCCTCGGGTCTGGCTGGCACGCCAGCGCCAGTGGGACTGGATGACACAGGCCGCCTGGCGAGCCTGCAGAAAGCGCCGGCGGGCCTGCCACATGCGCACCTGGGCCTGCACCTTCACCACCGCCCACTCCTGGCAGGTGTAGAGCCTCAGGGCCAGGCGCCGCCGCTGCTCCAGCATCTTGGCCTGCACCTGCCGCCACCAGCACTGAATGGCCCAGGCCCTGAGCGCCTCGTGCAGCAGCGTCTGGCGCACGGCGCGGCCCCGCCACCATGCCTGGATCTTCACAGCTGCCTCCTCTAACTGGTCCAGGAAGGAAGAACACGGGGATGCTCCGTGAGGGGCCCTCTTACTTCTGTCCCCACCTCCAGTGAGGGCAGGAAAGGGGCCTGGCCTAGGTGGCCCCGTGCTCTAGTTTCCAGGTCCCACCTGTCTTATTTTCGACCCTGCACTCACCTTCAGACACTGCTGGTCGCTCTCCGGGCAGCCGCCTGCTGTGGTGGCCTGGCTCACCCTTTGTGTGTCCATGGCCCTGGTCTTCCGAGTGTGCTCCTCTGGCGTCAGGGGGGGGTCACCCCAGCCTTCAGCCCCGCCCTCAACTGTTAGTTGCCCCCTCACTGGCTCCGCCCACCTGCGCTCTGGCTGCCCTGACCAGGTGCTGGCTGACCACACTTCAGCCACACCTGCCTCTCCTCCCCTGCTCTGTCCTGTCACCCATGGACCAGTCGGCCTTACTGAAGGGTTCCCATCGTTTGGGGGGCCTGACATCCTCTCTTGCCTTCAGACCCAGCTAGTAAGGGCAGCCCTGCTCTTCCTCCACCTTCTCTTCCTCCACCTGCTAGTCAACAGACGCACTGTTCCTGCTGGCGGCAGCAAAGAGGGGTGCACGCAGCACCCCTCCCAGTAAGGGCTTGTACTAGGGGAATACTCGCAGCCCGCGTGGAATCCAGCAGCTTACTCAGGAGGAGCCTGTCTGTGTAAGGCGTGTGAAAGCAGGATATCTGAGCTGCAGTGGGAGAGGACCCCCCTACCCCCTTCCCTGGCTCCCTGGCGCCCTCTGCTTAGGTGTGCCGTGGCTGCAGCCTCTGTGGGGACAGAACCCACACAAAGCTGAGTGGGGACACACTGAGCTTAGTTAACTGGGGGAGACTCATGCGGCTCACGGCACCCCTGGGAGTGGGTACATGCTCACTGGCCTTTCTGCTGAAAATGGCGTCCGGAACTGGTCCTGCCTGGGATGCATCCATCCACCCATGTCGTGGGGACGGAGGTGCTGCTGTGGCCACAGGGACACCCCCTGCAGTGCCCGTACCACACGTTTATGGTGGGGGTGGGGTGGGGGGAGCAAGGTTTGGAAAGTATGGAGACAAAAGCTGGTCTGTGGGCGATTCTTCCAGTCACCAGACATGGGAATCCACAAGTGGACGGTTCCATTGCCATCGATGCCCAGTTGAAACTGAAGTTCTATCTTGTCAGGAATATATGTGACCGTGCAGTGGACAAGGATAAACACAGCATACTCTTTTCTTGTTTTGGAGTGGATTTGGTGAAATAGGATTTGTCAGAATTCCTGTGGCCACAGGGCTCCAGCCAGGAGAACTATATGGACCGTGTGTGAGTCGTCACAAGAAACCACTTTTTGTGCACCCAAGTGTCCCTAAGAAACAGGTTTTCATAGGAAATGATATTTTCAAAACCATCATAGGAAGAGGGAGTCAAAGGTGATGCAGCTAAAAATCCAGGGAAAATATTACCGAGGCGGGACAGTTCACAAACAGGAACATCATTATGTTCGATTATTTGCCAACTTGTAAACATTTGCCATTTGTTGCAGTAACTTTACTCACACTAAATATGCACTTGCCTACTTCTATGTCTGTAATTTTGTATTTTACTTAAAGTAGGCCTATCAAGGTCTGGAAGCTTCAGGGCACAAAGCCCGGACCGGCCCAGCAGCTGCAAAAGGGCAGCTGCCGCCAGGTCTCCCCGGAGCCCCGGCGACGATGCGTCTGCAGATCTGAGCTGCGGCTGCGGCTGCGGCTGCGGCTGCGGCTCCGGCTGCGGCTGCGGGCGCAGGTGCCACAGGCGCCACAGGCGGGCTCCCTGGGGCTCGGGAGGCCCCTCTGGTTCCGGCCTTAGCACGCGTGCTGCCGCCCACTTCTCTGCTGGGCTCTGCTGGGTGCTAACCATCTAACCCCAATGTTGACCGTCGAGGCCATCGGGGTGTCTCACACGGGGTCCCATTGTCAACATGCTGAAAGTCCCGCGGAAGCAACCCCAGTGCTTCCTGTAGCGGCCGTCACTCTGGCGAGCGGAGCGCGCACCTCAAAGGCCTGCGTTGCCCGTGAAGCCGTTGGCCCCGGTGCCCATCCTCCACCCCCAGCCCCTCGCGCTGGATTCCGCAGAAGGGACCCCTGGCGGTGGGGGGGGGGGGGACTGTCAGCGTGCGCGCGCGCGCGGCGTTTGAACGCCTGGTGTCAGCGCTGTTGGGTGTCCCCCCGGGAATGGAGCTGCTGGGGCGTGACGGCCCGGGTGTCACTTCCCGAGGCATCCCCACGCTATCTTCCGCGGCGGTGGAACTACTCCACGTTCCCACCCACCTCCGCACCCTCGAAACACTTGGTTTTACTAATAGTAAGTGCAGAGAGTTCACGCCTTGCTCTCCAATGCGCACGCATCTAGTTCTCTTTTCTGCGGAGCTTCGCGGTTCAGACTTCAATACTCCGCAGGTGCTTCAGGAGCGAGCGGTAAGCGGGTCTCCTCGCAGACGACCCAGGTGCTTTCCTCCAAAACCGGGTGGTTTTGCGCCAGCTTCTCGGCCGAGTCTGCGCGTGAGCCCTTTCATCGTCGGTTTTCCTTTCCCGGCAGTTCGCTCGTGGTTCTGGGTGTACTCCCGGTGGTTTCCAAAGCCAGGGCCGGAGGGCCGGGGTCCCTGATGGGGCGCTGGGACCCCTGGCGCCCCAGGGGACGGGGTTTGGGGGCCGCTGGCGGTGCTGGGGCTTCCCCTGGCAGGCAGCGTCTCTGCCTGCCTCGCCTTTCTCGACAACACGGTTCCCTCGGTGCCCAGGTCCTCTTCGGAGGGAACTGTTCCGGACGCAGATTCCGTGCGCCGTGGGCGTGTAGGATTGCCCTGCACACTCATCCTGCTGTGTTCCCCCCTGGCCGGGGTTTTTTGTTTTTGGTTTTTTTAATCACAGGATAACGTTCCACACTGTCTGATGCACCACAGGTGTTGGCCTGTAGCCTGCTGCAGGGCGGCCCTGCTCGTCCTCGCTGGAGCAGCTGAGGACAGAGCCGCTCTGACCTTCTGTGCGCGGGTTTTGGGTGCACGCGGTGCTCCGCTCCTTTGGGTAAATACCAGGGAGCCTGGTTCCCGGGTCGAAGGGTAAAAGTGTCTTTAATTTTTAAGAGACTGCCAAACCGACTTCCCTGGTGCTTTCCCACCAATAGTGAATGAGAGATTCCACTGTTCCTCAGCCTCGAAGTTCTCCCGGTTTTGATAGCTTTTCTGGATTTTAATCTAGATTCTATAAAGGGGAGGAGTGGCATCTCCCTGGTTTTCTTTTTTAAAAAGCAATCTGTCCTTCTTAAAGATTTTATTTACGTATTTTTTTAGAGAGATGGGAAGGGAGGGAGAAAGAGAGGGAGAGAAACATCAATGTGTGGTTGCCTCTCGCATGCCCCCTACTGGGGACCTGGCCTGCAACCCAGGCCTGTGTCCTGACTAGGAATTGAACTGGGGACCCTTTGGTTCACAGTCCGAGGCTCAATCCACGGATCCTCACCAGCCAGGGCTCCCTTTTAATTTGTGTTTTCTTGATGACATGTGATTTTTTTTGGCTGGGTTGTTTGCTAATGGTTTTTAAAATAAAGAATTTTCTTAAATCTTATTCTTTTTACAACTACAGAGAAGATTCCATGGTTTTCCTCTTTGGTCTGTTAATATCATGAATTTAATCAACGATCATTTTTTACTGTGGAGACTCACAGGGATGGGCCTTGGCCATATTCTAGTCTACCTGGCACCTGAGTCCCTTCCCCATAAGTTGGGGACTACCCTACTTATCTGTCTTGGTGTCTAATTATAGAGCTGGAAAATGGCCAGTTTCCCTCGCTGCTGGGCAGACATGTGACCAGGGCTGGCCAATCCAGTGTCCCATTAGAGAGTCTTAGTCTGCAGCGTGGGATCCCAGACAGCCATTCATCCTGCCAGGGGTGAAATCTTCGTGGGGCTGGTTCTGTGCAGTGGGGTTTCCCAGACTCCTGGGTGCGTGGTTTCCTCCCTGCCTGTTTCCGAGCCTCGTCCATCCCCTCTCAGGCTTCCTGAAAACCTGGGGGAGCTGCTAACTACTCATTCAGCACCTTTATTTTCTGATTAAGTGACTATGAGTCAGCTTATGCTGTTGGTAGTTAAGAACAATGGCCAATGCTCTTGCCCTGGGTGGGGGGCAGGGGTGGTGAAGCCTTCCTGTTAAGTGTCATTAGAAATCATCATTGAATTCAGTTGTTCATACTTACTACATCTGGGTTCCTTCGTCACACTGGCCTATGGGGTTTTTGTCCCAAGCGGGTCCGATGTCAGTGTCAAGTGGGCACTCACTTTTGGGACTATTTCAAAAAAAGGAAAAATTCCCAGGACAGAATTGCTGTGCCGAGGGGTCTGTGCACTTTTGGATCTGGTGGATATTGTCAAACCTCTACTCAGAGGTTTTCTGATCGACAATCTATGACACTGCCTAGTCCTCTTCACCCTTAACATGGACAGCCTCTCATCTCCCGTGTCCCTTTAATTTTTCTGCAGCTGAGTTGAGCATCTTTACAGAAACCCCAGCCCTGGCTGGTGTGGCTCAGTGGATTGAGCGTGGGCTGGGAACCAAAATGTAGCTGGTTTGATTCCCACTCAGGGCACATGCCTGGGTTGCAGGCAGTAGGGGGCGTGCGGAGAGCTTTTTTTTTTTTAAAGAACCCTCTTCTCCCTGCTGTTGCTTTTTCTATGGCCTGGGTGGTTGGCTTTTTTCTTTGAGGGAAATCCCAGTTTCACCCTTTGTCCCACAGTATCTTCTAGTCCAGATTTAAGCTCTGCTCCTTTTGCTACTGACTTGAATGGTTGCCAAAAGTGGCAAAGATGGTCAAGAAGACCCTGAGACTTGGAGGGAGGTTGGCAGTCCTGGCTCTGCCTCCTAATTCAGGACGCTCACTTTCCAGCTGTTTCCACCAACCATGCAAAGGCTTGTGTTGGAATCTGGCTTAAATTTTTCATATTCCCAATGATAGTTGTTCGACAAACAAGTCAGAAGGGGTTGCATTTATATTTATATACATATAAGATTTTATTTATGTACGTTTAGACAGAGGGGAAGGGAAGGAGAGAGGGAAATAAACATCAATGTGTGTTTGCCCCTCATGTGCCCGCTACTGGGGACCAGGCCAGCAACTCAGGCATGTGCCCTGACTCGGAATTGAACCAGCGACCCTTTGGTTCGCAGGCCAGTGCTCAATCCACTGAGCCACACCAGCCAGGGCACATTTTTATATTTGTAACAAATGAATTTAAAACCAATACGATTTTTAAAAGTAAAAAAAAAAAAGAAAGCAATAAAACCAATATGTAATATGTAGATGCGAAAACGACATTTCCAAAGTTTTAAGTGTTCATCCAGAAGAGGTTTTATGAGTGAACCACCTTCCTCTGGGCAACAAAAACCACATAAAGAAGAAAACATTTCAGAACATCTGTTTTCTACAAGCTTCTTCCGTGTTCCTTTTTCGACTGACGAGGAGCTCCCTCTAGAGGCAGGAAATATATCAGCACCAGGGTTTCCTGGTTGCTTCCGCTTGCAAGTCAGTAACAGTTCAGTCCAGGGTTTTTCGCAGGAATCTTTTTTCTCCGTTTACCCAGGCTGCTTTTCCGTTTACCATGCACTGTCTAGGTTTAGCGGTGCGATCTGGACAGTGCAACCCACAAAGACCTTTGTCAGGTGACAGGAACACCGGTGGTCATCTGCCCCAATTCGTGGGAAGCAGCTTTTTGGTGGATTTGTGACCTCGTTGGGCATGAGGACGTTGCACGCCTGACTCTGCTTTAACCAAGGCCTGCAGTGGCACCTGGCGCCCAGCAGGGGCTCAGTGATTGTTGGATGAGAGAATGAACCTGTGAACAGAAACTCCCAGCTTAGTGTTGCTCGGGACCCAGGACCAGGCCCTGCGGCCCACGCCCCCCTCCCATCAGCTTCACACAGACACCCCCACAGCCTTAACCGGCCTCCTCCTCTTCTCTGCACCCCCCTAACCCCGCACTGGCCTCCCCTGTCCCCACCCTCCACACTGGATGTGCTCCTCAGTGACCCCTGGGGCTGAGACCCTGAGAGAGGGGGGCTCACAACCACCCCAGTCCTGGGCCAGGGGCCTTTCTGCTCAGCATTGACCTTCAGGGGCCAGAAGCAGGCAGAGGAGGGGCCCTGCTTGTCCAGGGGCTACTCCTCACCTGTCTCCTGACTGTGACCTTGAGGCCCTCAGGGAAAGAGGAGGGCAGGAGAGTGCGTGAAGCCACCGGAGCCTGAGCTGGGGGCGTTCCACATCCACGAGGCCACCTGGGTGTCCAGCTGATGGGCCAGACACAGGGGATTCAGCCAGGAAATGCACTCTGCCCCCTAATTCCAGTGTCCTCCCCAAAGGTAATTAAGATTACATTTAAAAAAAAAGATTTTATTTATTTATCTTTAGAGGGGAAGGGAAGGAGAGAAGGAGAGAAATATCAGTGTGTGGTTGCTTCCCGTGCGCCCCCTGCTAGAAACTGGCCTGCAACCCAGGCATGTGCCCTGACTGGGAATCAAACCGTGGTTGTTTGGTTCCCAGGCCCGCACTCAATCCACTGAGCAACACCAGCCAGGGCAGATTACATTTTTATAGGGTAAAATGATCCCCCTTTTAAAAAGAATGCCTTTATATCACATACATATAAATGCATGCCTAGATAGGGACCATCTGATTCTTCAGTTTGTCCTACTGATATTTTCCGCATCAGCACAGAGAACAGGCATGTTCTTTGTGCTTTTATTTAGTGCTTACTACATGAGTTTGACGAGTTTTCACAATTCTATATTCCCCGGTAACCACCGCCCCAAACAAAAATACACATTTCTCTTTGTTTCGCTGTGCTGTTTGCAAAAAAAAAAAACCCTCTTAGACCCCCACCCTGGCTGTGAACTCCATTCAGAACGACTTTACTGACTGATAGTTTCGTTTTGCCTGTTCTAGAATTTTCTCTGAGTGGCATCATCCTGTAAACGTACGCCTTTGTGTCTGGCTTCTTTCATTTAGCCTAAGGGGCCGGAGGTTCATCCCTGCGGCTGTGTGTATCGGGGTGTGTTCATTGGGATTACCGTGTGTTACTTCACTCTGTGAGTGCCCCGCCCCTTCCCGGTCTGCTTACCTCTTGGTGAGCATCTGAGTTTTTTTCAACTTTGACCTGTTTGAGTGAAGCTTTATGAGCAAGCACTCACGCATGTGGACACGTGTTTTTACTCTTCTTGTGTAAATACTGGGAGCAGAGCCACTGCGTGACAGGGTGCAGATACGCCTCACGGCATCGCAAGCTGCCCAGCTGTTGTCCAAAGCGCTTCTCCTGCTCCATACTGTCCACGCTGCCCTGCCAGCAGTGCTGGGGGGGGGGGGGCGGTGCTGTGTATCCTTGGCAACATGCTGGTTTGTTAGCATTTCTTATTTTAGCCCTTAGCTAGGGTGCTTCGAAATAAGACCTCGTGCTTCTGAGTTTCATTTTTCTCGTGACTAATGATGCTGGACATTTTCTCATGTGCTTCTGAGCCTTTTGTAAATCTCCTTTGGTAAAAGATTCAAGGATTTGGTTCCAGCCCTGGTCGGTGTGGCTCAGTCGGTTGGGCACCATTCTGCAAAGCGAAAGGTCCCTGGTTCCATACCCAGTCAGGGCACATGCCTGGATTGCCGGTTCAGTCCCCACCCAGGTGGAGGTCTGCGAAAGGCAGCCAGCCAACGGGTGTATCTCTCAGACATCCGAGGTCTCTCTCCCTCTCTCTCTCTTTGCCTGCCCCTCCTCTAAAAATAAATAAATAAAGTATTTAAAAATTTTTATTCCAAACTCCTTCTTTCTAATCATTTGGTTCCATTGTTTAATTAAAGTCCACATAAACGAATTTCCTATTGATCCTGTTTAAATCCTCGCATTGACGTTTTTATAAGCCAGGCTGAACAGACCCCCTTCACACACTGTTGTGCCCGTGGGCTGCTGTTTCTGGCCTCTTTGCGGAGGGCGTTTTATGGCGGTCTCACCCTTTCACCACAGGGGGCCCAACTACTGGGAGGCCTCCTGGAGCCTGAGTCACAGGCGCCCTTGTGACGTCATAGCTCTCCCCACCTCCTCTCTTCCTGCCTGAACCTTGGCGGGAGGAGGGCAGGTCTGGGCAGGATGGAACCACCAAGCTCCTAACTGTGGACAATTTGGGGCATGGAAGACATGAGGGGGTTTGAACCATCTATTTCTGAGTCATGGGCATTCAGTGCTGTGTAAGAACAGCAGTCCCCCTTGGTGCTGGCAGGGGCAGGTGGACTTCCAGTTCCCCAGGATGTAAGGCCTGCACCTGGGGGCCTGGGCGAGGCAGCAGGGGCTGGATGCGGGGTTCCTGGCTCCCAGGCACACAGGACCATCTGCACATGAGTTTCCCCTCTAACTGTGATTACAGAAGAAAGACCAGTCATACAAAGTCATGGTAGAAGGCGATGAAGAAATCATGTTGGTGAAAGCAAGGGAGAAAGAGGAAGACTCTCCACCCTCAGCCATACCGCCAAAGGTGGGTCCACGGAGGCCCTCCACGTCGCAGGTGGAGGCGACTCCCGCCTTCCCCAGTTCTGACCCCACTCGCCCAGCAGTGACGGGCTGTCTTCCCCGAGACCCGTAGCGCAGGACAGTCACAGAATATGCCATCCAAACTGGAATGCGTTTGTGAATGAAAGGCAGCACTCCGAATTATTGCTCAGGAGAGACCATCCTAAATTGCAACTGGCCCAGACCCGGCAGAGCTGGAAGGAACAGAGACTGACTCACCCCTCGCTCTCCTCTCCCAGGCCTGAGAGGGGGGCTGACTGAGCTCCAGAGAGTTGCTGGGAGGGAGGAGAAACCCTGGCAAGTGGGGGTCAACCCATGCAGACTTGGAGAGCAGGGTGGGGAGGGCTGGGATAGGGGGAGGCATTGCCAAGTCAAGGGGAACCCAAGCCTGGAATCCTGTGGGAGCGTGTGCACACGTGTGCATGTGAGCTTGACTGAGGTGTGAGCACCAGAAGAAATGAACATGAGAAATAAAGGAGAGACTCCACACTGCATGACTTGACAGAGGGGGACAGGAGGTCGGGGATGGGAGCTGGAATCAGGCATGAGCAGCGAGCCAAGGGTGCCCCTTCTCCAGCCTGTGGGATCTGCACCTAGGTAGGTGGTCAGGCTCAGGAGGAACATGAGGACCCTCTGACACAGAGCTCATGGTGCGCTCTCTCCAGACTGGCCAACCAGGCTCACACGCCCAGCAGTGACCAGGGCAGGTAGTAACACGTGTCATGTGTTACAGGCTGGAGGGAGCCTGAGACCCGAGGGCCCTTGAGATGCCTGTGTCCATTAACTGAGACTGGCAGAGACAGGATGCTTCTCGGTTCTCTGGCTCCAGCAGTGCCATGCCCAGTGTCCCCGAACTTCTAAGGGGCCATTTGTAGGTGGGGTCAGGACCCCTTCCTGGCACACCCTGGGGTGGAGGTAGGTGGGAAACCTTTCCTGAGTACCCCTTCTTTTTCCTAGCTACCTCCCCGACCCACACCCCGACCTTCTACCCCACCCCCACCTAAAAAGAAGCCCCCTGATGAAGAGCAAAAAGCCATAAAGATCCAGGCCTGGTGGCGGGGCACCCTGGTGCGCCGGACGCTGCTGCACGCGGCGCTCAGAGCGACCATCATTCAGCGCTGGTGGAGGCGGCTGCTGGCCACGCAGCTGGAGCAGCGGCGGCGGACGGCCCTGGGCTCCTGCGTGAGGGAAGCGTGGGCGGCGGTCAAGCTGCAGTCCTGGGTCCGCATGTGGCGCGTCCGCCAGCGCTACTGCCGCCTGCTGCACGCCGTGCGCATCATCCAGGTGTACTGGCGCTTGCACAACTGCCATACCAGTGGTGTCTTCCGGGGCAGGTACGAACTCACAGCAAACCAGCTAGGAATTGAACTTGAGATCTTCCTGGGGTCACAGATTTGCCGGATCACAGATTGCATCCCCTTCCCAATAAAGAACTGACCAGGTCTGCTCCAACTTGGTGTGGCCAGGTCTCTGTCGGACAAGCACTGGAGGGGCAGGGAAACTGAGGGCAGATACTGGGCGTCTCGCAGGCCAGCTCGAGGGGGCCGCGGGTTGTCAGGGTCCTGTGTGGAGGAGGGCTGAAAGCCTGGTGCTGGACGAGCAAGCATGGGATTGATCAGCAATGTCTGCCGTGGGGAGGGGCGTCGGGGCCGGGGCTTCCCAAGGCAGCCAATCATAGACACTCCTCCTCACTGGGGTCTCTATAAACGGTGACCTCTGCACCTGTGCACCATGGAACCCTCCCGTGGCTTCCCTATAAAATCAGAGCAATCCTAGAAGCCCTCCCTCTGATCTGCAGGAGCCTGCAGCCGCTCAGGCCTCCCTGACGGCTCTGCCCCACAGGCCCTCACAGTGTGAGGCACCTGCTGGCCCCTGTGCTGGGACTGTCTTTTCCCAGGCACAGCTCTCCATCTGGTTGGACTCTGCCCCCTGCGTCCTCTCTGTGAGGCTGCCTTTGGGCACCTTAGTAACACAGCTCATGCCCTAGCGGAGTGGCCCCGTGGGCTGGCGCTTTGGCCCTGCCCCAGAAGGTTGCAGCTTGGACCCCTCAGTCATAGCACATACCTGGGTTGCAGGTTTGATCCCTGGTCAGGGCATGTATGGCGACAACCAACTGATGCTTCTAATTTCTCCCCCCTTCCCACTTTCTCTTGCTCTAAAATCAATAAACATATCCTCAGGTGAGGATTCAAACAAAACACAAAAACAGCTTTCCCTCCCCCACTGTGCATTCCAGCTCCTCACTCTGCCGTCCGGCTTTGCCAGTCCTCACGAAAACCTGAGACTGTTTTACCTCGTTTTCTATAATCTGTGCTCAGCACTGGAGGGCGAGCTCCAGGACAGCCGAGGCTGTGGGGTCAGTGCCGTGTGCCCGGGCCTGGGTCCTCTCTATTATTTATTATTCTCTTTATTATTTATTATTGCTAACCTACTTTTGCCCACCCCTATAGATTGAGAGAGAGATATACAGGGGTGGGCAAAAGTAGGTTAGCAATAATAAATAAAATAATAACTGAAGAATACGAGAATAAACTGTTTTGTGTATGCATAACTGTAAACTCCCTTGCCCACCTCTGTATTACTATGTACATATTTTTTATTTTCTGTATATTATGACATTCGACATCTTTAAAAATAAATCCTGTTCTGGTTTGCCCTCCCAGGACTAGCCAGGCCTGACAGCAGGCCGAGGACTCAGCCCTGAGCCTTTGGTTTATCTGACCCAGTGAATCCAGAGCCCTCCCTCCTCCCTCCTCCCTCTGACCTGCACACCCCAGGAGGAAACATGTTTCTTCCTGCCTCATCCCAGGGTCAGGTACAGGCCTCTGGGGACCAACGCAACTCCTACTGGCCCGTTCTAGACTGGTGACCTGCCCTGCCTGGCCTTTCCCACTCTGGTGAGGGCCCAGCAAAAGCTCTTTCTCCCTCATGTCTCCTGCCACCTGACTGAAGCCTGGTGCTTCTCTTATGACCCTGAATGACATGTGGTGACCTCCTCCGGAGGACCTGAGGCCCTGTGAGGGGGACACACACTGTTTTCCCGTGTCTCCCATTCTCTTAGGGCCACGCCTGACCACACGTCTCATGAAAGAACGCTTCCTATATAGGTATACACACAATGGAAGTGAAATTCACACAACGGTTTTTAGAATAACCACATAAGGTTAACCGCTAATGTAAGATGAACAATTCACTGGAAATTAGTATGTTCATAGCATTAAGCAACCACTGTCATCTATATATCAAGTTCTAAAATGTATCTCCCTGGCTGGTGTGGCTCAGTGGGTTGAGCACCAGCCTGCAAACCTAAGGGTCGCCGGTTTGCTTCCCAGTCAGGGCACGTGCCTGGGTTGCAGGCCAGGTCCCCAGTAGGGGGCATGGGAAAGGCAACCACATGGTTGATGTTTCTTTCCCTCTCTTTCTCCATCCCTTCCCTTCTCTCTAAAAATAAATAAATGGAATCTTTTAAAAAATAAAATATTTGTATTGTCCTGAAAGAAAACCCAAAGCCCATGAAGCAGTCACTCTCTCCCCAGTTCCCCAGCCTTCAGCCGCTGGCAACCTCCAGCCTGAGTTCTGTCTCCTTGGATTTAGCTGGTGTGGACTTTTCATAGGAAGGGGGTCAAACGGTTTTGTGTCTGGTTTCATTTGCCGTGGTGCTTACAGGCGCCATCCACACGGTTGCATGCCTCAAAGCTTCATTCCTTGTTAGAGCTCAAGGCTGTTCCATTGTACGGATAGACGTCCTTTGGCTCACTACAAGGACTGCTGACTTTCAGGGTCTTGGAGCCAGAACTTCTGGGGATACCACACAAAAACATGGGGTGCACACAGAGGAACATAGGGCCACAGACAGAAGGACAGAGACTAAGTGGGGGGGAAGGCTCTTCCTGCATGGCCCCTCCTGGCTGCCACAGATGAGAATAAATCTACAAAGACATGATCTGCTAGGGGAGGAAAGGTGGCCGATCTCTCAAAGGAGAAGGGCCAGGAACCTGTTCCTCGATGGGCTTTCATTGGGTTCAATTTGCACAGGAACACAGGTAAAGCTCATCATTGTCAGGCAGTAAGGATCAAACAATAGATAACATACAAAGAACTATGAGGGCTTACTCTGAATCAGGGTCAGTTAGCTATAGGCTACAAAACTTGGGGAAACAAACTCATTTTCTGCTCGGACCCTTATGAGAAAATTGAGAGCATTCTTAGCAAAGCAGGTTTCACAGAATTTTATGCATTCTTTCTTAGGCCTGATCACCCCAGCAAACCCACTCTTTCCAGCACAGGGCTGCACTGCCCTCTGTCATTGTTTCAGGCTTAAGTCAGGCAGGGGAAGTCAGGCAGCCAAGAGATTAGGAGACTTCTCATCTCTGAGGACTCAGGCTATGTCAAAGCTGAGGGGCAAGGGTCCATCACCCTCTTTTTCTATAGCCCCTAAGTCCTTCCCTGGGGGCTCCTTTGTGACTGTGCCTGTCTTAGGTCGTCCCTCCCTTGAGGAATCTTACCTCTCACTGGCTAACCAGTTAGGCTCGGGGCCAAGCAGGGTGAAGCAAAGGGGGCAGAGGCAACACTCCTGCCAGGGAGATAAATTTTGTCTCCCTAGTGGCTTATGGTCCCAAGGTCTGTCACTCAGTCTTAGCCATGGAGGGTTACTGCTTCTGAAACCAGGCAGGGCAGTTCTCAACAACTAAGTCCTGAGGATCCCTCTGGGCCCCTGGATCCAACCATGCCTGAATCTGCCCCTTGGCTCAACTGGGAATTCTTAGCTTCGTGAGCCAGTGAACCCCCTTTCACATAAGTCAGTCAAGACAGAAAAAGAGAAGGAAATCTAAACAAATTATTAAACACTGAAAAGCAGATTGTGTGAGCTGCTTTTCAGGAAGAAGTTTTCAAAAATGGTTTTGAATTAGAAACTGGTAGGAGGTGTGCTGAGGGAATTCCTGACAATAAATGTGAAATTAGCTCTCCATGAAGCACCCAGAAGACCAGAACATTCTCACGATGCTTGTAGTGTGGCGAGGAGAGCTGTGGGGGCTCCTGAATAAATCAGCTAATCGCCTTCAACGAGAAGGGCTGTGTGTGGATCTCATTGTACATGACTCAGCTGTGAGCCCAGCGTGGAGGGCTAGTTTTACGGCAGGGGCACCCTGGGCAACTTGCAGCCGGTCCTGTAATGAGGGCTGGGACTAGTCTCCTGGGACTGCAGGAGAGGGGCTCTCCTTCCTGCCTGTGTCCCTGCTGATGCAGCGGCCCTGGGATGACCTCTGGGCTCGGCCTCCAGGGGCAGGTGGGCGATGCTCCTGTGGACAGAGCCTCCTGTGGGTGCTGGACTAAGGGAGACATCATTGGAGCCACGCTCCCCAGACGCAGCGTCGGCCCCCATTACGCAGAGCGCCTGTCCACCGGCAGTTCTGACTCAGCCCCACGGGGCCCGAGAATGCGGGTCTCTAAATGGTCTCCAGGTGATGCTGTGGCTGTGCTTCTAGGGAACCCCACTTTGAGAACCCTGGGATAGAGCTTAACCATATCAGCTGTGAACGATAGCACAACCCACGTAACAGTGGTTTTAATGGAGGTTTAGTTCTCTTCCCCCATAGAAGTTCAGAAACAGGTGTTCTGGGACAGGGAGGAATCCCGGCGCTCGCCAGAATGGCCTCTGTTCCCAAGGTCACTTTGTGATCCAGAACAGCTGCTTCAAGTTCAGTAATCATAGTTATAATTGAGTGAGCAAAGAGGAAGGAAGAGAGAGGCATGCTCCTTCTCCAAGTTCATGGTCCTGGAAGTTGCAGATGCCACTTCTGTCTCCGGCTTAACAGGCCAGGAAGGAAGACGTGAATGAATGGAGACATGCACGACACAGTCATCGACAGAATTACTCGACACTGGAAGGTTTTAATTTTCTCCAAGTTAACCTGAAAGTTAAACTCAATTCCAGTGAAAATCTCATCAGAATTTTTGAGAATTTGGCAAATGGGTGCAAAAAAAAAAAAGTCATATTGAAGAATAAATGTCCACAGTTAGTTAAGACAATTTGGACAATTTTGAAAGAAGAGCCCAGGAGATAATTAAGGGGATCAGTCACATTAAAATCCAGCACAAACCTATAATGAGAACACAGTGTGGAACCAAGGCCCCAGCTACTAAGAGTCTAAAGTGAGGAACTGACATCCATTTCAGGGTTTGGGGGTTCCCTCTTTTGAGGCTGGCAGTACCCCTCCCCCACCCCGGCCAAGGGGAGGCTGATTTCTGGGCAAGCTGGACAGAGAGCACCTGGCCCCAGGGCCGTTGGGTGTGGCTGGGGGCAGAGGGAAGGGCTGCGCTGCCACAGGCAGGTGAACAGAGAGGCCTCTGGCCCCTGTGCCCGCGCAGCTCCTCACAGCTCACAGCCGAGCCCCATTCTCCCCTCCAGCTCCAGGTTCCAGGCTTCCTCACCGGGGAGTCAGTCCACTATTGCCATACCAGCACTGCAAACCAGCCTCAGTGGCCATGGCCTTGAGTACAGTCAACATAGACTGTGTTCAGCAGCAGTGGCGTGGCTCCTGGCGCTTCCTCCACGCGTGTCTTCTCCTCCTCCACATGCAGCAGGCTACTTGGGTGTTTTCTCCACCTGGCAATGGCAGGAGCACCAGAGTGCAAAGATCAAGGGGCAGAGCCTTTGAAAGCCAAGGACAAACTCGCATGTCATCATTCCATGTGATAGCCGAACCCAAGGCACAGGGAGAGAGACTCCATGCCTGATCAGAAGAAACTTGCAAAGTCCCATCACGAAAGCGGTGACTCTAAGGGCCACTAATGCACCGCACCATACGCTCCAAAGAATAAAGCAGGTGAACACCGACGTTTGGGGTCTTCCACTGGAGCACTGCCCGACTCTGCCTTATTAACCCACACTGAACAGCACCCGTGAGTGAGCCCCCCGGCCCGCCACACTGAGCGCCCCTTCCACGTCTCAGGGCCCTATTCCTACACATACATACACACCAAGGGCTGTTAACACCTGCCCAAAGCTTCTCACATGAAAGACTGAGACAAAAACAGGAACGGGAAAAAGAGGGGGCTTGAAAGAAAGAGAGACAAAACTGGGGGCAGAAGAAAAAGATTTACAGCCCTGACCAGTGTGGCTCAGTTTGTCGGGCATCAACCACCAAACGAAAAGTTGCAGTTTCGAATCCCGGTCAGGGCACAGACCTGGATTTCAGGTTCAGTCCCTGGTCAGAGTGTGTGCAAGAGGTAATCAATTGATGTAAGTCTTGCATATCAGTGTTTCTCTACCTCTCTTTTTCCCTCCCTTCCCCTCTCTCTAAAAATAAACAAACAGCCCTGGCTGGTGTGGCTCAGTGGATTCAGCGCTGGCCTGCAAACCAAAGCGTTACAGGTTCAATTCCCAGTCAGGGCACATACCTGGGTTGTGGGCCAGGTCCCCAGTAGGGGGTGTGAGAGAGGCAACCACACACTGCTGATTCCCTCCCTTCCCCTCTCTCTAAAAATAAATAAATAAAATGTTTTTTTAAGTTGCCATTAAAAATAGATAAATAAATAAATAAAATCTTTTAAAAAAAGATTTACATAAAATAAACTAACAACCATAAGTAATATTCTTAAGCTGGTAAGAGACACAACCAAGTCAGTGAATCAGGAACTGTGTGCTCCACCATGAGGAATATTCAGAGGAGGGGAAAGTGCTCTTGAAAACTAAGATTCTTTTTAAAAATGGAGAAAATCTTCCAAAAAGTAGAACTGAAGGCAGAGTTAGAAACTGTTGCAAACTTAAAGGACCAATCTATAATCTCATAGGGTTACTGTCATTATTAATATGAGAATATTGAAGGGTAGACATTATTCGTTTTTTAACGCAGACAACAAAGTTTTCCAGACTGGGATGACAGGGATCTCTAAGCTACAAGACTAAGCAAAGGTCCGACATGAGAATAAGGGGGGCAAGACGCTCCCATTTGGGCGCAGCTGAGAACATCCTTTGCTGGGGAGGGTTGGGGGACAGCCGGGGAGGGCCCCCTCCAGCTCTGCTGGGACAGCCTGTTTTAGAGCAGCATTTGCACCACGGCGAAGCCGCAGATCTAAAACCTGGCCTGGAATCGTGTATTCACTTCTTACACAATGTCCATCAAATCAACGGTTCCTTTGGACCCTCAGGGGTAGGGGGAAGACCCTCAGAGCTTCCAGAGAGGAAAGAGCAGGTCACACCCATGGACACGGGAATCAGAGTAGTGCTGGGCTTCCAGAAAAAAGTGGAACAAAGTCCTCAAAATTCTGAAGAAAAATTATTTTTAACCTGAAATTCAGAGCTAAACCAAACCATCCATCCGATCTGAGGGTAGTTTGCCAGTCTGCCTAGTTACTCCCAGGCACCTCTTCCTTCCTGAAGAAAGGGACGGGGAAGGTCCAATGAGAAACTGACCCCAACAAAGAGGGAGACACACCGCACAGGCTCAGGCTCCCTCACTCCGCGGAGACCTCAGCGGGAAACGGGCCGGAGGATAATAGAAAAACCGGTGACCCTGGATGGAAAAGCACTTGTTCAAAACTGTTGGAAGCCCAGTTACGGAGGGGGACGAATGGACAGATCTCTGTGTGGACAGATGCCACCAAAACAAACAAACAAAAAAAACAGTTGGCAGGCAGAAGGAGTATTTGCACAATGTCTATCCAGCCAAGGGCCGTGCAAAAAGTCCGTGCAAAGGGCCGGGCTCAGCTCCCGCTGGAGGAAAGGGTGCTGCCGTCTTCGCTCACCCAGGAAGAAACAGACACTAGGGGGCCAGGAGACTTGCCCCAGTTCCCGCGGCCACAGGGGGTCTGTGCCAGACCAGAGTGCAGGCCCTTGCCCCGGGGAAGCCCGGTCCCCTCGAGTCCACAGGCTGAGAACTGCGAGCCAGCTCGGCAAGGGAACAGTGTTCCTGCGGCACTAGCTAGGAAGTGACTGGCAGAGGTCAAAGATCATGGCGCTGCCGTCGCTGCTGGGGAGAACAACCTGGCCAGACTTAGTGACCCGGAAGAGAGGCCACCCGTCTTGTGACTCAGAAGGCCACCTCCGTGCATGTTCCCTGACCGACACCTCCCGCAGCGCCAGGGACTTGTGTGCAGGCCGAACTCCTCCTGCACAGCCTGCTGCGGACAGTCACCGGGGTGGCTGAGAAACACAGTCACTGGTGGAGAGGAGAGAGCGACATGGCCCAGCCATGAGCACACAGGGACCCGCTCCGTGTGGTGGCATCCAGTACTCGCTGTTGCGAAGGCACGCAGGCGAGGAGAGGGAACCGGGGTGTGCTGTGGGGGCGGGGGGCTGTCACAAGCACGTGTGGTCATTGTTGCGTGACTGCTAAACCATGATGGGCCCTCCCTGGCACATGGTGCCTTGGAAGGACGAGGGGGGGAAGGGGAGCTAAAGCCTCGTGCTCCTTGCTGGGAAGTGGATGATGCCTTGAAATCAAGAGGCCCACCAGCTGTCACCAAGGTCTGAGGGAGCTGTCCCCAGAGTCCCCTAAGAGAGGTGAGCGCAGCTGGGAACAGGAGCTGGAAACAGCCAGAAGGCGCTGGCTTTGGAATCAGGCTTGAGTAGCTTCCAAATCTTTAAAATAGGGCCACTGCCCCCTGAGGAGCCTACAGTGGGGGCAGCACTGTCTCCATTATGGCTCGTGTCGGGAAAATTCCCCCAGCCTGCTAAGTCTCAGACACAAGATGGAAGGGCTTGCTTTGTTTTAAGGAATATACACTGGCTTTCGAAGCGCCACCAAAGGCCACAGAAGGACAGGGTCACAGCAGCTGGAGGGAGGAACATGGAGGGCTGAGAAAGCCCCACCCAGACCTTCCTGGGCTCCTTCCACTCACCCTGTGCACCCACACTGTTCCCACTCGAGGAAGGACCGCCCCTCCCGCGGAGCAGGGGCCCACATGCCTTCCTCTGCATGTGAGACGGGCTCTGCTCAGTGGCCGGCCACAGGAGGCCCTGTGGGGGGGCTGGGTCTGGGGTCAGCCTCAGAAAAGGACAGACTCACAGGGGCTGTGGTTCCCCAGAAGACCAGCACATTTCTTCCAGGCAGGAGGGAAACACGCAGGTGTCTCTTCTTTATCCAACAACCTTGAGCCTGTGAAGGCACCTTGGTCCTTGGGTCACAGGTACCCTTGTGACATCATTGCTGTCCCCTCCCATGACCACCCTCCAGCCTCGGCCAGACACAGCTGAGCAGCAACCAGAAGGCGTGTGAACACCTGAACCACCACCCTCCAGCCATGGGCGTTGCGTGCTGTGTAAGGCTCAGGCGGGAACCCGCCCCAGGGTGGGGAGGTGGCCAGGGCAGGGGGAGGCACCAGATGACCTCACAGGATGCAGAAAAGGATGGGGAACAGGGGGCTTGGCCGGGGCGGGTCCTCACTCAGGCTTTCTGCCTGCATTCTGATCACAGAGGCTCCTCCCGGAGCTGGAGCCCCCGGAACGCAGGCAAGATAAAAAGGTCAAATGGGAGAGACCGAGGGAGAAGGTAGGTGGGGCCCGGGAGCAGGGGGATCACAGATCACAGACCCTCTGAGCCCAGAGCGCCTGGAAGTGGAGGGTCTGACCCTGGTCCCACCGGAGTCAGTTCAGCATTGCTCTCCTGTCTCCATAAACGCCCTCCCTGTCCTGAGCACAGCGTACTAAACAGGGAGAGATGACAGATATTAGGGGTGCAGACGGCCCAGGGGGCCTGGGGTGGGGGACCAGAACAGAGAGAACTGGAAGGCCAGAGGGGGGCCTGGTCCTAGAAGGTTGTGGGGGTGCCTGAGAGGCAGCAGGGCAAGTTGAGGGGAAGACGCCCAGGGTCCTGCGGCCAGGTGTGAGGAAGCCCATCCTCACGCCTGGGCCGGCTCTTCTGAGCCAGGAAGTGTGTCCAGCAATTCCACAAAGCTGTGAGGACCACAGGGCAAGTACGAGGGGGGACCCAAAAAACCTGGATTTATTTTATAATCCTGTATTTATTCTGACATGTTTAAACTTCAGTCACCTTCCAAGTATGCTCCATTTGATGCAATGCACCCACCTATCGAGACTTTTGTCCGCGGCTCAAAACAGTTTCTGAACTCGATTTTTGATGCCTTTCCATGCTTCTGCTGTTTCTTGTTTCATTTCTTCCATACGAGGAAAACGTGTCCCTTTTTTCAACCGGGAAACAAAAAAAAATCATTCAGGGCAAGACCGAGTGTGTAGGGAGGGTGGGGCACAGGAGTCACACCATTTTTTGGTCAAAAACTGCTGAGCACTCAGTCGTGTGGGCAGCTGTGCTCGTAAATCACCCAGGAAATGGGCAAACACGTCTTCATAATAAATTCACTGAGTCTTCATAATAAATTCACTGGGGCCGAATACAGCCTCTCACAATAACGCCAGCTGGTGCACTGATCCAGGTGGGTTTTCTAGAACACTCACCTAGCCAGTACCACAAGGGGCTGCCTGCCAGGTATAATGTCATTTTTGGGGGGGGGGTCTCCCCATTTGAAAGACAAGGAAGTGACTGAGGGGTGAGCAGATGTGGTCACAGCCACAGACAACACCCAAGTGGAGGCAACGCGCCACCCAGGGGAAAGGCTGGTGGCTGAGAGGAGGTCGGAGCGCCTTGGGGGATTGACAGGGCTGTGGTGGGTGGCGATGAGGTCACTGGGAGTCCTCTGCTTTGCTTGGTTAGCAGGTCCCGAGAACAAAAGCAGAGGCAGCTGGCAGGATCCAGGCGTGGTGGCGTGGCACCCTGGTGCGCCGGACACTGCTGGTGGCCGCCCTCCGGGCCTGGATGATTCAGGCCTGGTGGAGGGCGCTGCTGCGGCAGCGGGTAAGAAAGTTCCATCAGGCCCTGCTGAAGGTCTACGTGATCCAGGAGCAGGCGGCGGTCAAGCTGCAGTCCTATATCCGCAGGTGCCAGTGCCATCAGCGCTACAGCCAAGGGCGTGGCGCTGTCAGCCTCCTCCAGGCCCCCAGGCCCTGTCTCCCCCTCCAGACCAGGGGCAGGCTGCAGGCGCAGCCGGAGGGCACTACCAAAGGGCTGGAGTTCCACGTGGAGATTCTATCCATCTGACACACTGCAGAGGTGGCTCAGTGGCCCAATAAATGCCTGACCAGGCTTTGATGTGTCTCAGCGACGCCCACAGTGTGAGATCCCAAAGCATCAGGCCCGTCCTCTCTCCCCATGCCAGAGGAAAGGCTTCATTTCCATCTAGGTGCCCCTCCCCTGTCCCCTGCCCCTCAGTGCCTAGGGCCCACTGTTCTGGACCAACAGTCACCATATACCACTGACTCAGAAACTGCCACCTGAGACTGTCCTCATTTATGCCGAGCCAGGAGACCCAGCACTGCCCTTGTCTCCTGAACTTGCCCCTGGGAGTGCTTGAGGGTTTATAAACCTGAAGACACTCAGCATCTCCCCCTGTGAGAGTCGTCCCTGTGGCCGTACTGTGTCAGCCTGCCATTGGGCTAGCCTGGGCTGGGACCCATTAGCTTTCTGTCTAGCAGCACCTCCAACCCTGGGCCAGTGTGGGGCCCATGGAGGCTGCCCCAGAAGGGGGAGCGGGAGCAGCGCAGCCTGGGGAGAGCTCGGGAGGCTGGCCTCCGTGGGGGCTGGGCATGGGCCTCAGGAGCTGCTCGCTACCGGGGACGCACTTTCCTTGACAATGTTTCTACTCCCTGAGGACCCTTTCTCCTATCTGTCTCTTTGCGACTGGTACAAAACACTCCCCTTTTGCCAATTCTGGAAACTCCATTCTCAACTCCTTTTCCTTCTCAATAGAATGGGGGTTTGGTGGAGGGCGGGGGCTGAAAATTCCAAGCTGCTACTCTGGCTTCATCTTCCCAGTAACCAGCTCACATCTAAGATCCATCCGGGAGCCCGCCCAGATTGCCCTGTGAGAACAAAAGACCCTTCTATTACCCAGGAAATTACACAGGTTCAGGAGCCCTTTGTCAGGATTCGGGGTCAAAGGACAAATATTAAAGCAACAGATATTTCTTGTGTGCTCTTATGCCTTAAGAAATTGCAAGAGTTTTAGGAGTTCTGTGCCAGCAACTGGAAGTAGAGACCAATGTATATTATTTATTATTTCATAAATCTGGAATATTGATTTTAGGGAGGTTCCAGCCAAGATAGAGGCGTAGGTAGAAACCCTTCACTTCCTCACACAACCAAAAGGAGGATAACCACCGATCTAAAATCAATAAACCAGAAGCGCCAGAAAATAAAATTGCATGGAACTCTGACAACCAAGGAATTAAAGAAAAAAATCAACCAGAACAACCAGACCAGTAAGAACCTGCATCGAGGACATGAAAGTGAAGTCTGCTCAGAAAAACCTCGGATCATGCAGGCGGGGCTGGCCGAAGGTGAAACTGAGACGCAGAGCTGACTGTGGACTGCGGCAGGGGTTGCCACCGTGGGAGGAACTCCCAGACTCACACGTGAGTTTTTGAAAAGTGGAGCTGGAGCTAAACAGAGGAGCTGTATCATTCCCTCTCTAGCCCCTCCCCCACTTGCCCTGCGTGCGGGGGGGCGGGGGGGAGGAATACCTAAGACCCCGCCCCCTTACAACTTAACAGGTGCACCAAGACAAAGAAATGTGGCCCAAATGAAAGAACAGAGCAAAACTTCAGAAAGAGAGCTAAGCGATGAGGAGATAGCCAACCTATCTGATGGAGAATTTAAAGCCCTGGTAATCAAAATGCTCACAGAGCTGATTGAGCTTGGTTGAAAAGTGAAAAAACAAATGAAAGATACCCAAAATGAAATAAAGCAAAATATTCAGGTAACCAACAGTGCCAGGAAGAAAAAAACAGGGCTCAAAGCAACAATTTGGAACAAAAGGGAAAAATAAACATCCAACTGGAACAGAATGAAGAAACAAGAATTCGAGAAAAGTGAAGAGAGACTTACAAACCTCTGGGACAATCTGAAATGTTCCAACATCCAAATCATAGAGGTACCAGAAGGAGAACAACAACAGCAAGAAATTGAAAACTTATTTGAAGAAATAATGAAGGAAAACTTCCCTAATCTGATGAAGGAAATAGACTTCCAGGAAGTGTAGGAAGCCCAGAGAGTCCCAAAAAAGTTGGACCCAAAGAGGAACACACCAAGGCATATATCATCATTAAGCTACCCAATATTAAAGAGTAGAGAATCTTAAAAGCAGCAAGAGAAAAGGAGACAGTTACCTACAAAGGAGTTTCCATCAGACTGTCAGCTGATTTCTCAAAAGAAACCTTATAGACAAGAAGAGGCTGGAAAGAAATATTTGAATCATGAAAGGCAAGGACCTACACCAAGATTGCTCTATCCAGCAAAGCTATCATTTAGAATGGAAGGACAGATAAAGTGCTTCCCAGATAGGGTCAAGTTCAAGGAGTTCATCATCACCAAGCCCTTATTATATGAAATGTTAAAGGGACTTATCTAAGAAAAAGAAGATAAAAATATGAACAATAAAATGACAACAAACTCACAGCTATTGACAAATGAACCTAACAGAAAAGAAAAACAATGAAAACAAAAACTAAGCAAACAACCAGAACAGGAACAGAATCAGAGAAATGGACATCTCATGGAGGAATTTCAGTGGGGAGGGGGAAGGGAGGAAGAGGGGGGGAAGGTACAGGGAAGAAGCATGATTAGTAAGCATAAAATAGATGGGGAGAGATAAAAATGGTATAGGAAACAGAGGACTCAAAGAACTTACATGTATAACCCATAGACCTGAACTAAGCGGTGGGGATACTGGAGGGTTGGGGGGCCAGGGTGGAGGGGGGATAAAGGGGGGAAAATTGGGAAAACTATAATAGCATAATCAGTAAAAATACTTTTTAAAAAAGTCTGGAATATCTTCACATAATAAATAAGAAAATAATCAAAGGTATATACCCAAGAGAACTGAAAACATGCCCATACAGAAATGTATACGATAATCTTCACAGCAGGTTTATTCATAATGAGGCAGGAGACAGCATAGGAAGAACTCTGAGACTGCAATACTGTTACTGGCCAGCATCTAGCATCCTGGTTGCCAGAAACACCTTTTACCAATTGGGTAGAATAAATAGCAAACCGAGGCAGGGAGGAGGAAGGAGACAAGTCTCACATGCTAACTCCGCAGTCCTGAGCCTGGTCTGATAATATTGCCAGTGTCCCAGCATCACAAGAAATACTGTGTTAGCAAGAAAGAAGGGAGGTCCTTGAAATTCTATGTAGTGTTTCCACTTGAAACTGTGTTTTCATCCCAGGGCCTAGAATGCGGGAGAGTGTCCACGGCACCCAAGGAAGCAGCCCATAAAACAACTTTGGTTAATTTACTGACCAGAGGTAGTATCTATTTTCCGAGGGAGTCCCTGATCTTACAGAAAGAGCCCGTAAATAACTTTGGAAAGTGCCCCAATTTTAATTTACTGCCTCCTGTCACATACTTGTTTTACAACAAGATGAACAAATGGAGTCTGGAGCAAGAGACGTATTTGGGCTAACAGACCCCCCCCACATGCCTAAGTTTGGGTACATTCCCCCAGGACAGATGGCACCATGTTGACCCGTTCATCACTATGGAACTTCTTTTCTCCTATCCCACCAACTCTGTAAGTCCTCAGAACAAAGGTCTCTCCCTCTGTCTCTCTGTCTGTCTGTGTCTCTTTCTCTCTCTTGCCCTCGGCTCCCAGGGCACTGGGCCTCTGACCACCCAGCCTCAGGCTGCCCAGCGGCTGGCCACCCCGGTCTTCGGCTGCTCTTACTTTGGCTGCCCCGCTTTGCCCTGAAACTTGGCCTTTCACTCCCACTCTACCCAGTCCCATTCTCTTCCACAGGAATAGGCCACTAATAAACTGATTACATGCTAATAGATTTGCTGCTCTGTAATTCTTCACACACATCAGCAAGAAGAACCAGGTCTCCCCCGGCAACAACAATAGTGAAAAAGCAGGAGCAACAGAAGTGTCCACTAACTTTGGAATGGGTTTTAAAATGCAGTATGTACATGCAATGGAATGTTGGTTAGCCATAGAAAGGTATGACATGCTGGACCAGCAACAACATGAATAAACACTGAAAACCCTGCTAAGCAAAAGTCACCACTGCGTGATTCCAAGTATATGAAACACCCAAAACAGACCCATCTGTAACTACACAGATGGGCAGTTCCCAGAGACTGGGGGAGGGGAGAATGGAGGCAGACTGCTGACGGGTATGGGGTTTATTTTGGGGGTGATGAGAACGTTCTGGAATCAGACAGTGGTGATGTTCCAGAACAGACTCGTGGGTGGGGGGACAAGATACTGTTACTGAATAGAGCCCCCTCTCCCAGGGCCCCTCTGTACCAGGTTCACCTTGCCCATTGCCCTTAAGAATTGAAATTATGGCTCTCAATGGTTTGGTGAAAAGGAAAGAAACTATTCATTCAAAAGTTATATGGGTTTTCCTGGCTGGTGTAGCTCAGTGGATTGAGCACGGGCCTGCGAACCAGACAATTGCAGTTCGATCCCCGGTCAGGGCACATTCCTGGGTTGCAGGCCAGTTCCCTGCAGGCCAATTCCCAGCAGGGGACGCACGAAAGGCAACCATACATTCATGTTTCTCTCTCCCTCTCTCCTTCCCTTCCCCTCTAAAGATAAATAAATAAAATCTTAAAAAAAAAAAAGTTATATGGGTTTAGCCCTGGCTGGTGTGGCTCAGTGGATTGAGCCCCAGCCTGTGAACCAAAGGATTGGTGGTTTGATTCCCAGTCAGGGCACATGTCTTGGGCCAGGGCCCTAGGGGGTGCAAGGGAGGCAACCACACACTGATGTTTCTCTCTCTTTTTCTCTTTCCCTTCCCCTGTAAAAATAGTAAATAAAATCTAAAAAAAAAAAGTTATACAGGTTTAGAGTAATGACTTAATGTCGCCGTTAAATACTCAAAATCTCTTAAAACACCCACAAACACAGTTCTTCCTTTCCCCTTTGCCCTGGAAGGCCAGTCTTGGGCCATATCTCAGAAAGAAAAATAAAAGTCCTCTGCTCATTTATTCTGGTTTCTGTCTGTCATCCGTGCTTGGTGGGCAGGCCTCCCGAGGTTCCCAGCACCATCAGCCGTGTTGCCGGGGTCTCCCCTTGCGGCACCTTCTCAAGCCCCACCAGTGAGAGTCCTTTCACCCCTTTCCTTCCCTGCAAGGTCTCACATTGTCCCCATCCCTAGTCCTGCACTGTCTCTCTTGCTTCCTAAGCCACATGGTAGAGGGAGCCCCCCCCAACCGTATGGTTGCCCCGCATGGCTGCCATGTGAGGGTTTTAAATCTCAGCGGGAACCCTCCTTTGCAGCCCCATTTCCGACTCCCCCCACGATCAGTTACACCTGCCAGCATTCCGGGATTTTTCCAGCCCCTCTGGCCTGCCTTAGCGAGCCGGAGCAGACATGGCCCGTGGTGTGGAGCCAACCACCTCCGCGCTCTCACGCAGGACTGTACCCCCGGAGAGCTGCCTCCCAGTTACACCATGGGTCAAAGTCACTCCGCTCTCCCTGGCTCAAAGCACAGTCATAGCTACTTAACATCTATGAAGCTAGTCAGCAGTTACAGATATGCAAAATAACCATTTTTGCATATCTCTCAACCATGCAAAATAACTCTCAGTGGTCCTGCTCCATGTGTCCCGCCCTCCCCAGCCCAGACTTGTGGGAGTGAGGCTATCCTATATTTTATCATTCCTGGACATCCTGAGTTCTGCACCTTGTTTTGAATCCTTCATTTGGGGGGGGGGGGCTGGCTATACCCCATTACAGTGATAGTTGCCTAACTTTGTGAATATACTAAAAATTACTAAATTGCACAATTTTAAATGTTAAGTTTTAGGGAGAGAATTCTATATCAAGAACAAAGCTCTTGACACACAATTTTAAAGACTTTTAAGGAAGATATAAAAGAATTCCTAAGCAAATGAAGGGATAGTCCACGTTGACAGGAGGGACTCAATACACTGATGGCCACCTTTGTCCACTAGAGCCGTGCACCCAGTCCAAACCCCGCAGGACACCCTGAAAGGCTGGGCAGCCATCCTTACCTTTAAGCGTGGCTCTGAGTAACTTGTCACATTAGAAATTTCTAAATTGGTGAGTTTTTAAAGATTCGGATATGACTCTACCTGGTTGTGGTGACTTATTTAGAGTGGATCTGTGATAGCCTTCTTCTCTGGCCTGCTTCCTCGACCCATCTGGTCTCTCTGTCCCCTGCAGTGTACGGGGGAGCTGGGACCCGAATCCAGGGCAGGCAGGAGGAGCCAAGGGTGAGAAGACACTGGGGGGGATCCCTGCCACTCTCCCGTGTGGTTGGTAAGGAGAAGGACGGAGATGGGCCTGACTGGAGGAGGGCCCTGGTGTGGGACGGCACTCAGGTGCCCTACCTGTGCGCCCAGCCCCGCAAACTGCTGCCAGGAGGGGGTAGACAGGGCTTGCTGGTGAGGAAGACTCAGCCCTCGAGTCACAATGCAATTGTGAACTCACAGCGCTCTCCCTCCTGTTACTCAGGCCAGACCTTGGGAAGCAGGGAAATCAAGGCTAATAAAACATCTAAGACAAGCATGGGGATTCAATTTTGCGTAAGAGACACGGCCAGACCTCCTAGGCAAGCCTGGGGTGTGGGTGGGATCCGCCTGCTCTCAGACTCAGGGGTCTCAGGAAGAGCCGGGACGCGGAGGCCGTGGGTACCTTTGTCGGAGCCTCGAGAGACACTGTGTCCTAACTCATCCATCCATTTCTTGTTTTGTTATGCTAACAGACAAAAGGCAATCTTATTTTAGTTGTAATCGAGGAAGAGGAAATAATTGAAGTGCAGAAGAAGAAAAGGGAAAAAAAGGTGGGTAAAGTCTCCATGTGGTTAAGAGGGTCCAGACCACTTACGTCCATGTCCTGAGGTGGATGGACTTGCGCCTCTTCGGGGCTCCAGAGTCTAAGATCACCAGGAGTCGACTCAATGTTGACTCGTTTTTCCTCCTTCTCAGCAGGGCCTCTGGGGCCTGGGTCTGACCATGGTGAAGAGTAAGTGGAGGGAACAAATGCGTGAGGCTGGGGGTGACGGGGGAGGCCTCGGGATCGGAATGTTGAAGATGTGGGAAGGGGGAGAGCACCTCCTCTCCCAGCAGGGCAGCTAAACCTGCTGTTGTGACGGTGAGGGCTCGGCCGCCACGCGGGGCTGGAGTCAGCGGAGAATCACAGGCAAAGGCATTAGGAGGCGGAGCTTCGCAAAGCCCCCAGTGGAGTGTGCCTGCCAAAGGCCTGCACGTCCCAGAGGCACGCTCCTCATTGCTCGTGGGTTCTCCTTTGCCCCACGCGCCTGTGATGCATTCGGTGGGGGAGGCTGGGACGCAGAGAGCAAGGCCCTGTGCCTGCAGCTGCAGAGGAGGGCACCTCACCCAGACCTTGCTAACTCCTCTAAACTCTTCCAGAGCAGGGCTGATGGTGAGGAGCCTCCGGGACCCTTCCAGGAAATCCTGGAAGTGGGTGGTGGGACGTTTCCTGAGAGGTTTCTTTTCTCTCTGCCTAGAAAAGTTTGAAAAAACAAGTAAAAGCAGCCAGGAAGATCCAGGCCTGGTGGCGGGGCACCCTGGTGCGCCGGACGCTGCTGCATGCGGCGCTCAGGGCCTGGGTCATCCAGAGCTGGTGGCGGCTGATGCTGGCCAGGATGCTGCACAAGAAGCGGAGGGTGGCCCTGATGAACTACACCGTTGGAGAGAGGGCAGTGGTCAAGCTCCAGTCTCTGGTCCGCATGTGGCGTGTCCACTGGCGGTACTGCCAGGTGCTGAACGCCATCTATGTCATCCAGTGCCACTGGCGCTGCCACGACTGCCAGACCTGCGCACTCCTCCGGGGCCACTGCGTGGTCACCGACACTCACCTGCAGTTCCACATCGAGATCACCAACCCCTGAGGGCTCGTGTCCCCAGTAAAGGTCTAACCCGATCTGGTGTGTTTCGTGGCCTCCCCCTGCAAAGGCACACATTAGGAGAGTAGGCCGTCTCCTCTTCTCCCTGGAAAAAAACTCCAGGGAGGCTGCCCCCTGCACCCACGGACCCTGTTCTGAGCCGACAGTCCCCACGTGCTCTGACTCAGTTGTCAAAACAGAAGCTGAAGTCCCAATCTACACGGATACGGGACAGAGCTGAAGTCTCGGTTCCCACCAGGAACCCCCCCCCTTTCTCCCTGCCCCGCCCACTCCCCTACAGGGATCTGAGACAGAGTCTTCTTGAAGGCTGTGAGGTCCTCCGCACAGGGCAATGGACTCCAGGGCGCTTCCCTGTCAGCCCGGGGTCTGGGATACCCGCGACAAGGTGTCTGGCAAGCACCTGGAGAAAATGCCAGCGCTTGGCTGACTTCCAGGAGCAGTGCGACACAGCCTTGGGTGGAGGACAGGAGGCTGGCCTTAGTGACGGGGACCTGGTATGCTGATAACCGTGGGAACTAGTAGAACACAGGAGTTCACGGCACTGCATCTCCACGACTGCCTCACCTGTGCCTCTGCCCGAGGGCTGTGCGAGGAAAGGCTCCCCCTGATGGTCCAAAACCTCTGCTCCCGTCTCAGTCGCTGGGGACCTCACCGCCATCTCCTTCGTCTCTGCCTCTAAGAAACCTCTCAGGCTCCGTCCTCAGCCACTCACCCCCATGGTTATAGGATAGCGGCGCTCTCCATAGAACTTTCTGCGATATTCTGTAGCTGTGCTAACATGGTAGCGACTAGTCACATATAGCGGCGGAGCACTGGAAATACGCCTAGCACAGCTAAGGAACGGAATTTTAAATTTTATTTAAATTATTTCAGGTTCAACAGCCAGAGGCGGCTGCGAGCTATTCCACTGGACGGCGCGGCTCTAGACCTGGCCATGACCAATCACCACACCATCGCCCAAGTCACTTTTCCTAGCGTCCTGTTCTCCGAGTCCTCTTCCCGCTCCTTCCTCTGTCCCTCTGACACACCCCCAGCTGAACGTCTCCTTCAATGTGATGAGGTCATCCTCACTGTTGACCCTGCCCATTTTTTTCTTGCCACCATCCCTCCTGACCTACCCTTGCACCTTTCTGACCCAGGTCAGATACGGGGTTAATTATGGTCATCTCTGCCCTGCACAGCCTGACTCCCTGGCCCTGCCCCCACCCCCACTCCCCACCGCAAACGTGTGCGATGAACTCCACCGCCTACCTGCTCTGTGCCTGCAGGAGGGAGTGTGGCTAGAACGAAACCACCCCCCCAGCCCGGGGCAGGATCTCGGCTACATTCCCGGCTGTGGGTCTTCAATGGACAAACCACCAGCACACTCCTCTGCTAAGTTCGCAAACTACAGGGTCTGGCAGGAGTCACGCTTGCCTGAGTGTAGTTGGTAGGGTGATAAAATGGGTGTAGTAATTTGTAGTTTTAATTTGCACATCTCACCTAAAGTGTCATAGGGTGTGTTTGAGTGTGATGTTATGTTACAGAAGGACATGCTTAGGACTGTGTAATAAAAGGGGGGGGGGGTTATTTGTGCCGGGCCCTGGGTCTGCCGCACTGAGACCACTTCACCTCCTCTGCCCATGTCCGCTTCCACTCCTTCCCCTTGAACTCAGTGATGAACCTCAGTAAGTTCAGTAAAATACATTTTAAAAAACACTTGCTAGGAGACTTCCGCCAAGATGGAGGCATAGGTGAATATCCGTGCCTTCTCACACAACCAAGTTTAGAGACAACTAAATATTAGCAACAGAAAACACAGCCAGAACACAGACAATTGAACTTTTCGGAAGTCTGTTAACAACAAATTCTTCAGTCTGACCGGTAAGGGGCGAAACCAGCAGCTGGTGGAGCGGGGTTGCACAGGAAAACTCAGTCGGACGGACTCCGGCGCACGGAACCCAGGCGCAGGGTTGGACCTAGTGAGCGACCAAGCAAGCGACCGCGGGGAAACAGCAAGGGAGCAGGGCTGCGGGTTGACTGTGGTCGCCCATTTGTGCGCGGATAGACAAGCGAGGGAGTGGGCGATTGGACCGGGACCCAGCGGGTCCCCGCGGCAAGCAGCAGGGAGGGCGCCGCCATTTCCCTGCTCTGACCCCACCTCGACGTACAGCGTCATAACCCAGCGACTCTGAGTGGCCGGGCCCTGGTGAACCACCTAAGGCTCTGCTCCTCACCCAGCGGCGAGAAACAGCAGAGGGTGCTGCCATTTCCCCACTCTGACCACGCCCCCACATACAGCGTCACAACCCAGCGACCTGGGAGTCCAAGGCTCAGTTCCTCACACTTAAAGGGTGCGAACAGACCAAAAATGGCTCAAGAAGATCTCAAAGCCCCGGAGCCTATAAATCTAAGCGATGAAGAAATAGCAAAACTCTCAGACGCACAGTTTAAAACACTGGTGATCAGGATCCTCACAGAACTGGTTGATCATAGCCACAAATTAGACAAATATATGAAGGCAAAACTAATTGAAATGAATGGAATTGCACAGGAAACCAATAGTAATGAAAAGAAAACTGGGACTCAAATCAATGGAGTGGACCAGAAGAAAGCAAATAATGGCCAAACAGAAAAGAGTCAAGAAGCAAGAATTCAAAGAAATGAGAAGAGTCTTAGGAACCTCCAAGACATCTTTAAATGCTCCAATATCCAAATTATAGGGGTACCAGAAGGGGGAAAGGCACAGCCACCAGTGGAAAACTTATTTGAACAAATAATAAAGGAGAATTTCCCCAAGCTGGCAAAGGAAATAGACTTCCAGGAAATCCAGGAAGCTCAGAGAGTCCCAAAGAAGTTGGACCCAAGAAGGAACACACCAAGGCACATCATAATTACATTAGCCAAAATTAAAATGAAGGAGAGAATCCTAGAAGCAGCAAGAGCTAAGGGGACAGTCACCTACAAAGGAGTCCCCATCAGACTGTCAGCAGATTTCTCAAAAGAGACCTTACAGGCAAGAAGGGGCTGGAAAGCAGTATTCCAAGTCATGAAATCCAAAGACCTACAACCAAGATTGCTCTATCCAGCAAAACTTTCATTTAGAATGGAAGGACAGATAAAGTGCTTCTCAGATAAGATCAAATTCAAGGAGTTCATCATCACCAAGCCCTTATTATATGAAAGGTTAAAGGGACTTATCGAAGAAAAAGAAGTTAAAGAAACATGAACAGTGAAAGGACAACAAACTCACAATTATTAAGAACCATACCTAAAACGAAAGCAAACTAAAAGGACAGCTAGATCAGGAGTGGAAACATAGAAATGAAGATCTCAAGGAGGGTTAGCAACAGGGGAGTGGGAGGAGGAGAAGGGGGGAGAAGGTACAGAAAATAAGTAGCATAGACAGTAGATAGAAAATAGAAGGGGGGGCAAGAATAGCATGGGAAATATAGAATCTAAAGAACTTGAGACACATGGATATGAACTAAAGAGGGGGTAATGGTGGGGATGGGGGAATAGGGTGGAGGGGAATGAAGGGGGGGAATAGAACAACTGTAACAGCATAATCAATAAAGAAAATTTAAAAAAAAAGAAACATGAACAGTGAAAGGACAACAAACTCACAGTTATTAACAACCACACCTAAAACAAAAGCAAATTAAGAGGACAGCTAAATCAGGAATGAACAAATGAAGATCACGTGGAGGGTTAGCAACAGGGGAGTGGGAGGAGGAGAAGGGGGGAGAAGGTACAGAAAATAAGTAGCATAGACAGTAGATAGAAAATAGATGGGGGGCAAGAATAGCATGGGAAATATAGAATCTAAAGAACTTGAGACACATGGTCATAAACTAAAGGGGGTAATGGTGGGGACGGGGGGTAGGGTGGAGGGGAATGGAGGGGGGAATAGAACAACTGTAACAGCATAATCAATAAAAAATTAAAAAAAAACACTTGCTAAACAATATGCAATTTCTAAAAAGGAAAACAACAGAAAGTGTATTATTTAACCTATAAGCTCTTTAGTATGTATCTTCAATAGATGAGAACTTTACAAATTATAACCTCGATATTATCTTTCAGCACCAGAGCATACGTGTATTCCCCGAATAACTGAGCTTCGAAGCACATGAGGCACAGTGCCCCTGTGCCCCTCCGAGGTCGACGATGCCACCCGCAGACCCTAGCGATCTCTGGTCTGCACGGCCCTACCGCTCCGCCTCGCCGGCCCGCAGAGGTGGTGGCAGTCGGCAGCCTCTTGCGTCGGGCATCGTGAACCTGAGACTTCTCCACCGCGGTGTCTTCCTTGCTGAGTGGCATTTGGCTCTCTGGATGTCACCGGAGGTTTGTTTGTTTTTTTTACCAATGGAAGGGTTTCCGAGTCGTCACCCCTTTGTGGTGATTACCCATGAATCTGCCGTGCAGTTGTGTAATCTGTGTGTTGTGTGTGTATGTGAGAACTTAAGTTTTGCAGTTTCTCTGGTTAAAAACCAGGAGTGGCGCCTCTGGTTCCAGCACCAGCAGTGCTGAGGCAGGTGGGTCGGGCCGGTGCAGTGCGATGCCGTTTGCCAGCGGGGGGGGGGGGGGGTGGGGGGGGGGGGGGTGTCAGCCAGACTCACGGAGACAGGCAGGGAAACGGTAGCTGCCAGGGTGGGGGAGGGGAGAAAGAAGATTTATGAGAAATATTATTTCATGGGTAGAGTTTCAGTTTTGCAAGATGAAGTTCTGGAGCTGAACGGTGGTAACACTTTCACCACAAATAAATCTATTCACGTCACTGAGCTGTTTACCTAAAATAGTTGAATGGCAAATTTTATGCCATGTATATTGTATCACAGCTTTAAAACAGAACCTTTTAAGGAATGTGGGGAGGGGAGCAGATGACCACGTTCTCCACGTGGCAAAACGCCAAATCGGAATGCCAATAGGGGAGCTATCTGGTTGGCTGACTTGGGGGGCCCCCCCGGAGGCCCCCAACGCTCCTACCCGCAACAGACATTGCT